GGTCCCTATGTCCTCCAGCAGTCTAAGCCTATAGCAGCATAACTGTAGAGATTAGCTCAGGTTATCCTGAAGCGAAACGTCTTCAAATCCTGGAAACCAAGTCCAGTGGATTGTTTTTAAACTTTTACTGAATCAACGAAAACATTTCACACTACAAATACTTTGAGTGCTTGGATTATTGATTGATTCTTTTCATGCTTGTTAAAGGATAGATGCACAGACACAGATAGATAGATTCTCTATGGAGGTGTTAATCAGTGTTGGTAAAGGTATCTCAGTTATGACATATATGCTATGAAATTCACAGCTGAACATTGCAGCTCACTGAATAATATATAGATATATAATGTAAATACATATATACTGTACATATATATGTAAATAAAAAGCAATTGTACCTTTTACTACTAGATAGAGATAAGAGATCATTACATCTCCTTTCAGGTGTATTGCAGGTGTATTGCTGCTGGATCACTGTTATCTGTGAGTTTTATCAGCAGCCTCACATGTCCTATCTTATACTAACCTGTTCTTATGATATAATCTGTCTCAGTTTGTTTTTTTACAGATGCAGAAACAAACATGAAACAGGAAAGAAAGCATGATAGTTTAACCTGGTAGACTGTCCTCACTAAACCAGACTTTATCATTAGATTGGATGTTCTATGAAAGGTTTTTTAATTGGTGGGTCATGCAGGTCGTAAGAAAGGAACAGCAGGACATTTACCTCTGAGCAGACTGACCTTTGATCTTCATAAAAGGGAGGCAGAGGGAAAAGCTCCTTGCTCCTCTGTCAGCTGTAGATTGAACAGACTGCAGAGGCTCTGCTCCATCCTCCACTCTGAGGTACTGTTCTGATTTACTGTTTCACTTTATACCGTTTCTCTTCTTTCAGCCTCGTTTTGACTGCAATGCTTTGGTCAGTTTATTGTGGATAAACCTAAGAAGCACAGTGCAGATTATTTATTTTGAGTTGTTAAAGTACATCTCAAGTAAAGTGTATTATGCATCATTGGTTTAAAAATTACTAATCTAAACTAAAGGTTTTAAACATGTGTTCATGCAGCAGCTCAAAAAAATCCATCTATACCAATTCAATGAAATTAGTTTATTCATGACTATCATGGGTTACTATGATAATTTCAGCCAGAATAATAACTTTTTTCATTTCACTGTATTTCAAGAGTGAGTTCCACTTTTCTTTAAAACAAGCATGTTAGTTCATGGTGCAGCCGTGCAGAAGGTAATATTGATGCTGTTCATTGTTGATTCTGATCTTAAGCCTTTTTGCTCATAGCAGCAATGATGTCCAGATTATTATGTGGAAAAGTCTGGTTTCGTAAATAATTTCAGTTACTCCTTTTAAATGGATTTCTAGAGCACCTTTAAGTTGGCACTATTTTTTCCTTCGGTTCTAGCCTTAGATTTTGCAGCTTTAAAACTGCAGATAGACCAATACAGCTTTTTAAGACCCATGCTCATAGCGATTATGTTGGGATCAGTCTAACTGATCTTGGATATGGATACAGATTTTTGGGGGTACATTTGTGAAGGAGATAATTTTTTCCATCTCTCTATTTTACCTTTTAAAAATAAACAATGATAACTGTTACTGTCATGTTGGGTTCAAGGCGTCTAACCCACATGCAGAAACACACTCGGAAACAGGGAAAAAGTTAAATGATTTATTAACAAGGTTTCACAGACAAAATGTTGCACTGGTTCTGGGTTCTTCGTACTGGTCACGGGAGGAACACCACTGAGGAGGACAGAGCAGTTAGAGTTGATCCAGGGAAAATTGGTAGTTACAGATGACGAGGTAAAATACCTGCTCAGAGATGGATCTGATCAGCAGGGGGGGAACCATATGAGTCCAGAGGCTTGTCGGCAGGCAGAGGGCTGAGGGCTGAGGCAGAGACTGAGACTAAGCGCACGCAGGCAGATTCCAGACAAAGGTTTCTCTTACCAGGATTTCAGGTTTCAGGATAGTCAGGATCTGTGAGGCAGAGAGAAACAGGATCAGACAGGTTCTCAAAGATCAGGGTTATAGATCAGGCAGGCTGGCTCAGGTTTTGCTAACCATTACTGGCA